CCTCCCACAGTATTTATACAAATTTGATTACAACTTGAAATTCCTTCAGAACATTCATTAATATCTACAGTGCATAACATAAGTACATGAATTCTTTAAAGACATTACACAGTAAGCTTACCATCACAAGTTTTACTATTATTGGCTAGTCTGTATCCTGATAAACATGAGCAAGAATAAGAACTGTTAGAATTGTGACAGATTTGCTCACAAGCATCAACACCAGTTACACATTCATCATGATCTACATACACAATTGATGCAGTTAATAATCATTAAAAGTGTTATATACCTGAACACCCATGAGCATCATCATCAAGAGTATATCCATTGTTACACTGACAATAATATGATCCAACTTGATTAACACACACTTGAGCACAGCCTCCATTATTAGTGTCACATTCGTTGATATCAGAACATGTTAGTCCATTTGATAATTGGTAGCCTGGTTCACAATCACAGACATAACTACCATTAGTATTATAACAGTTGTGTTCACATAGATGAGTACCATTAGTACACTCATTAATATCTAAAATAATATATCAGTGCAGCCAAAATTAAAAATTAAAATCTGACCATCACAATCAATTCCATTGATGCTTAGTCGATATCCATTCCTACAGTTACACTGATAGCTACCAATAGTATTAGTACACAACTGAGAACAACCACCATTACTCAAAAGACACTCATTTGTATCTACTAAAAATTAAAAACAGAAATTTACAAAATTAATGTTCCTACCAGTGCATGTTCTTTGATTGTCCATAAGATGATAACCAGTCATACAGTAACAAAGATAGGATCCATTAGTATTAGTACAGTTCTGATTACAACCATGAGTACCATAGACACACTCATTAAAGTCTACGTTAAAGGTAATGAATGGTTAAAATGATATATGGCAAACTATATACCGGTATTAGCTTACCATCACACCTATGATTGTCAGCATTGAGCATGTAGCTGTTATTACATGCACAATAATAGCTACCAAATGTATTGATACACTGCTGCTCACACCCTCCATTGTTAGCATTGCATTCATTAATATCTAAAGGACTCTGTTAAAAGTATACATGAAGCATAATAATGACCTGTGCAATTGTTTTGTGCATCCAAATTAAAGCCAGTGCCACAAAGACAGTAATAACTTCCAGCAGTATTGTGACACGTCTGCTGACATCCTCCATTATTAACATTGCACTCATTAATATCTATGAAGAACAAGCATAATGCCAGGATTTAATAAAAATTTAATAGAAATACCTGAGCAGAACTGTCCATTCAAAAGCGTATAGCCTGAATTGCATGAGCAAGAATAATTTCCAATGCTATTTGTACAGACTTGTTCACAACCACCATTATTTAAACTACACTCATTGATATCTGATAATGAACCATAAAATATTAAATAATCATCATATTAACTGCAAATTACCTGAGCAATTATATTTATCAGCATTTAAACTGTATCCATCCCAGCATGAACAATCATAAGATCCTACTGTATTTTGACAGATTTGTGCACATCCTCCACTTGAATTATTGCACTCATTAATATCTACACAGAGAAAACAATGCAAAATTGAAATTTCTAATGCAATAGAGTAATACCAATGCAAGTAAGACTATTGTTTAGGACATATCCAGACTGACAGTCACAGTAGTAGCTTCCAACTGTATTTATACATATCTGATTGCAACCATTAACTCCTAAACACTCATCAATATCTAAAAAAATGTGTAAAACAACTAAAACTTATTAGTATGAGCTACCTAGACATGTTAGATTATTAGATGACAAGTAGTATCCAGTGATACAATCACACTCATAGCTTCCAATAGTATTAATACACTTCTGACCACATCCTGATATTCCTTGTGAACACTCATTAATATCTAGAAAAAACAATGAAGTGTAATGTCAGGATTTAAATAAAAATCAATATACATGTAAATACCTGAACAGAACTGTCCATTCAAAAGGGTATAGCCTGAATTACACGAGCAAGAATAATTTCCAATGCTATTTGTACAGACTTGTTCACAACCACCATTATTTAAGCTACACTCATTGATATCTGTTAATATTAACATTAAAATATTGAATAAACATCAGATTAGTTGTGAACCTGAGCAATTATATTTATCAGCATTTAAACTGTATCCATCCCAGCATGAACAATCATAAGATCCTACTGTATTCTGACAGATTTGTGCACATCCTCCACTCGAATTATTACACTCATTAATATCTACACAGAGAAAATCATACAAATTTAAAATCTATATTGCAATAGAGCAATACCAATGCAAGTAAGACTGTTGTTTAGGGTATATCCAGACTGACAATCACAGTAATAGCTCCCAGCTGTATTTACGCATATCTGATTGCAACCATTAACTCCTAAACACTCATCAATATCTAGAAAAATGTGTAAAACAACTAAAACATATTATGTGTGCTACATACCTAGACATGTTTGATTATTAGATGACAAGTAGTATCCAGTGATACAATCACACTCATAGCTTCCAATAGTATTGATACACTGCTGACCACATCCTGATATTCCTTCTGAACACTCATTGATATCTATAAAATTGAAAGACAAAAATTGATTTTTCAGTTAATATTGCTTGTACCTGAACAAAAGACACCATTTGTTAGCTGGAAACCAGAATTACAAGTGCAGTAAAAGCTCCCAATGGTATTTGTACACAATTGCTCACAACCACCATTGTCAGTATTGCACTCATCAATATCTATAAAGAATCAATACAGTGTTATTGATCATAAATCTTTACAAACCTGTGCAATTCAAGTCAATGGGATCAAAGTTGTAACCAGTGCTGCAATCACATGTGTAGCTTCCTGGAGTATTTGTACAGGTATAATTACAGCCACCATTATTAGTGAAACACTCATTAATATCTTCATGTGTAAGAATAATAATGAAGAACAGCAATGTAGCTTACCTGTACAGTTATGCCCATCATCTTCTAAAGTGTAACCAGAATTACAAGAACAGATATAGCTACCAACAGTATTAGAACATATACTGCTGCATTGACCATTATCAATGCTACACTCATTCAAATCTAACAAAGTATACAAAATATGATATGCATCCTTTTAAAAACATTATTAATTTACCAGTGCAGGTGTAACCATCACTATTCAATGTGTAACCAGCTGTACAACTGCAAGTATAGCTTCCATTAGTGTTCACACAATTTTGATTGCAGCTGCTTAATCCCTCAGCACACTCGTTAATGTCTAATTCAATAAATTACATTCTGTTTATATTGCAACAATGTCTGACCTATACATGTGTGACTGTCATTACTCAGTCGATATCCAGCATTGCAACTACACTTGTAACTGCCAATAGTGTTAGTACATACTTGAGAACATCCTGATATTCCTTGCTGACATTCATCAGTATCTAACATCAGAATAAACATTATATTATTTATTTTATAATATTCTCACCTCGACAAGTAACACCAGCTATATAGTTAGAGTAGCAATATCTGAAGTAGTAATAAGAATACATGTAACAGTCCAAAATTTTAGTTTCAGAGCCATAGCAATTAAAAAATCCATAAACAAATGACGAATCCTCAGGAGCATTAAATGAATTATATCTATATGCCACAGATCCTATACAAATTTATAATCACTGATATGTCATATAAAAATATTACCATAAGAATTAAATCCAAGTTGCCCACATACAACATTAGCTTCAGTAGTACCCCAATACCATCCACTACACAAATATGTCCAGGCATTGTTGTAACAAATTTGTACACTTCCTTGATTCTCTGTTTGTCCTCCTACTAGTCTTACATCACCATCAGTACAGTTCACATACTGAGTCGTTATGGCTATAAAAGGAAGCATATAATAATTGGTATATAATCATATCTTACACTGGCATTTCAGAGTTGCTTGTCTTGATTGAGTACAACTAGATCCAAATGTATTTGTTACAGAATATGAGCAATCCCAAATACTAGTTTCATTTCCATTGCAATATACATTGTAAAGTCCAAGTGGCCAATAGCTCTGAGTGTATTGATAGGTACTGGCCAATGCACCTTAAAGCAGCAATCACTGACACTACATTACTTTCATATAACTAACCATAAGGTGAATAGCCCAACTGAGAGCAGGCTACACTGGCTTCTTTTTTTGTCCAGTGATTGTTACATATTGTATTCCAGGTATTGTTCCTACATACTTCTACTGCTCCAAGACGAGTGTATGAATAGTATGGATCAGTGTCAATCCTGATGCTTCCATTGTTACAAGGTCCTAGATACACACTTACTTAATATAAGGTTGTAATGAAATATACTTTCACATGTGACTCCAGCATCTGGAGAAGTGCATGCTGATACATAGCAAGACTGATGATTACAATCAAGCAGTGATCCCTCATCTCCATTACAGTATAAATGCGACATAAGAATAGGACCAGCTCCTGAACTGATAGACTTTATTTCTCCTCCAATGTATCTACACAAATGAAATTGGCTTAATGTAAAATGCATTTTATGTCATTAGTTTACCCTAATTGCTTGCATGCTACAAATGCATCTTGAATACTCCAGCCAGAGGAACATATGCTTCCCCAAGCCTGATTGATACATATTTCAACTCTACCATCATCTTCAGTGCTACCATCAACCAGTCTCACTTGACCATTAGTGCAATTAGCTTGATAAGCAGTTCCTTTAAACAATATAACAATGATTGATGGTTGATGCTATGACAAGCCTACTTTGACATACAACACTGGCATCACTATGAGACTGACAGTTGTGTAATGCAGCATTACTGTAGGAACAATTAAGCAAGTGATCTTCATCACCAGTACAATTGAGGTCAGTGATTCCAAATGATAGCTGGCTCTCAGTATAACAGTTATGTTCGGGTAAAGCACCTGAAAATAAATTTATGATTTAAAAATAAAAAATAATAAATGAACCATATATAGAGAATCCCAGTTGTCTACAGACAACTTGTGCATCTTTGAGATCCCAGCTTTGATCACATAGTGTAGTCCATGTATTCTCAATACACAATTCAACTCTACCAACATTAGTAGCATCAGTATAAGTATTAACAAGCCTCACTGCACCATTCTCACATTCCCCTGCTGTGCCTATTAATAAAATAATTCATTTTAGGTTGCTGCTAAAATTGATATTCTAACCAAAACAAACAGCACCAGCTACACTACCATCACCACAATATTGAGCAGCTGTAATGAAACTACTACTACTCCTGCTACAACTTAGCAGAGATGACTCAGATCCACTACAATAGAGATTTGAGATAATATGAGAATCTGGTCCATTTCCAAAATAGCTAGACCTATATGCAGTAGAACCTATTATGAGAAATTATACTACAGAATGTAATAGTTTAAAATACCAGTAGATTGGTATCCAAGTTGTTTACAGACTACATTAGCATCAGATGTACTCCATGAATTATGACAGACTTGCCCCCAGAAATTATTGTAACACATTTCAACACGCCCTTCAGCATCATTGATCCCACCAATCAAACGTACATCACCATCAGAACAATTATGACTGACACTAGTAGTAGCATTATCTTCAATGGATTATTATCAATTAATGATAGAACAAGGAATTTACATACTTTGACAAATTACTGCTGCATCATAGTATCTACTGCAGGAGTAGGAGCCTTGTTCAATGTAAGGACAGTCCAAAATTGCTCCTTCAGTACCAGTGCAATTAAGATCAAAGATTATAGGATAGACTCTGTAGTCATAGTAATAATAATAAGGAAGTACAACAGCTCCTTCAATTAAAGTTTCAAAATAAACAGTAATAATATTGATATTTTACCATAGGGAGAATATCCCAATTGACTACATATAACACGTGCATCGTTATCATCAAAACTGCTTCTGCATATAGTTCCCCATTCACCATTCATACAAATCTCCACTCTACCCATAGTAGAATAACCAGAGCCATGAAGACGGACTGTTCCATTTTGACAGGTATCTATATAGGAAGTAACATTCATCACATGGCATATAATCATATAATTGCATACCATACCTTGACAAGTCACACCAGTATAATCACCACGATAGTATCTAGTTGAACTATAGCAACTAGCTAGGTATCTTGAACATTCCAACAATGACCTTTCTGTACCACTACAAGAAAAATCATAAGGATACAGTGGTAATTCTTGAAGTTCTGGAAAGTTGCTCCGATATCCAGTTTCTATGAAGAAGGCTTTATCAATATAATGCAAATACATTATAAAACCTTGTTGATATCCAATGTTTCCACAGACAACAGAAGATATATAATAGTAGTTATCTCCACATACACCATACCACACATTATCATGACACAGTTCAACACGACCTTCCATAGAACCAGATAATCTAACTTGACCAGTTGTACAGTTAGTGTAATTAACTGATGATGCAACTATTATGAACAACAATGATTTGAAAATAGTAACTACTACATGTACAATGAAGTTGACTTACTGTGACAAGCAACTCCAGCAAAATAGTAGTTTGATGTGCAAGTATGCTGCCCTAAT